TATATATATATATATATATATACATAATTTATCTTACTGTGATTATATACAGCTACTCAGCTAACATAAAAACGACTATCGTATTTCCTAGTTCCTCCGAAAGGCCGCCCTCAAGAGGCTGTGATTGGTCAGCTAACATAATGTGCTGTAATTCGCGAATTAGCTCCACGTCACCAGGAAAAGCGTCACGCCTCTGATAGCATGCAGTTTTGCGCTGTGTAAATACTGTCAGTCAGAGAAGTTTTCAGTTTGATTCTGAATCTGACAGAAAATGAAGAGCACACAGCTGAACTTCACGCCTGCTCTGTAAAATAAAATCTGACAAGTGTCATTCACATATATTCAAAATAAGCATGTGTCAGTTGTAGGGATAGTTTACAGTTTAACCCAAAGAATGACCAGTCTGGTAGATGAAGAAGAGCCGGAGTCAGTAAATAAATCAAGTTTACTGAAGATAGTTTGCAGTTTCATCCGCAGAAGCCAGCTTCAACACTCACAATGAGTTCCTAGGCCGCTCTGCTTACAATCACCAATCAATAACAATTATACTCTCACATAACGTCATTAACTGCGTCACACATACAGGTGTTCTAACCTGATTGGTTAAAACACAGATAGACTAGGAACATTTCCACGTGAGGTTCGTGCGTACAATTCTGAACAATATCTAAACATAAACGTCAGACACCCTTTAGACTGATTAGAGCTGACCCCAGACCTGTGAAACGGATCAACAATTAAATAGAACACACACACTTTAAGTATAATCTGTTTCTTATCCAAGGCTGAGTGTACCATCAGCCGTCTTTATCATAACTGGTTAAAAACTGGTATAATCTACATTCAGGCAGTTATATTCTTACTACACAAAGTCTATCTTGAATAAAAAGTAGAATCACTTTAAAAGATTTAACCGTAAAACTATAGCAAAATCACTTTAGACATTTTAGACAGTATTAACTCCTAGAAATAACAATAGAAACAGTTGTTTCCAGTCCTCAGTTCCACTCAAGATCTCCATGACCTATGACCTAGTTTGCTGGCTCCTGAAAATAGGTATAAAGAGACTGGCAAATGCACTGAACATTCTTATATTAAGCAATGTGTTAACTTATTCATTAATTAAAATCAATTCACAGTTAAATACTAAGAAACAGGATGATGAAATGGATAAACGTTGGTCCATGATGAGATGGACTGGAAAGCAGAAATCCAAATCCTTCACAGTAATATGAAACGTTGACATATCTTTTGCGGGTTTGAGATGTAGAATGAAGGGAAAGTGGCCGCATGGAGAGACACTGCAGCGCTGCTGAAGATTGTGGGTGTTTACAGAGATTTGATGGATAAATATGAATCTGTAGCTAAATTGTTAGCGGTGCCAAACAGCATTTCCAATTGTTTACATTCTTATTTGCGTTCTTGCTACAACATACCATTAATGCTAGAAAACTATGCATGTAATTGATCAATTATAACACATAAAAACACAGGTTGTGGCTCACAATCCACAGCTTTGTCCATTATGATTGGAGGGGTTTTTAGCCGGGAACTGGGAGAGATTCTGGAAGCTCTCCTTTGTCAAATGCTAGCTATATATTTATTATAATTATCTGGAACCTAATTACATTTAAACTGTAAGCACTTCTGTCCTTATGTTGTGTCCTTTGGAAGCCCAAATACAAAAACAGAGAAGCTCTGTGTAAATAGCCGTATTTGGATGCTATTTCAGCTTGCTCTACCTTAACATTACAGCACCTCTGGCTACACCCATAGATTGTAAAAGATTCGTAGTGTCTGTGACGTCACCATTAGGTTTCTTAAGAACCCAAAATAAGCTACCAGTAGGCCTGGCCAACCATCCCCATATTGTGCACACGTCATCGCACAGACCGGGGGATACCAAACAAGGGCAAAAGAGGCGGAGCGTGGGAGGAGCTACAGGCGCCTGTTATCGCTTTGCTTAGACAGGCTTTTCTTTGTGAAAGACGCTTAATACTTTAATACCTGTGACTCGTTTGTGTTCTGACCACATGTGCTTGGTTGTACACTATATAAATAAAGTGTTTAGGCTTTTAAAAACACTGCTGTAATACACTGAGCGACTAAACATTGTTCTTATGACGTTTTTCTACAGGAAGAAAACACGAATTACATCCAAATACTATAAATTAATATAGTCTGTGTTAGTAAGTGCAAGGCTATTGATAAAATCCAGGCATAACACTGTATGACAACACTTCAGATGACTATTCTAGAACCCACAGCTAATCAATCTGTCAGATTCTGGAGAGCGTTAAGATGGCCATTTTAACAGTGGCCTCAATAGAAACGCTGCATATGGAGCCAGGACTAGCGGAATTAAAATGAATTGGTCTTTCAGTTACTTCCGTATTTGCTTCACGAGGGAGAGCGGGAGGTTGCCGCTTGGCTACGCCCCGTAGCTGCGCAGGGTGGATGTGTGTAGCCTGAAGGGTTTATGATCTCATTGACCCAGTTGTATTTTTTGTAGTCCTCAAACTTTGTTTGCTGTAGGCTTTGTTAAGATAACTCTGCAAAAGCCAATGTCTCCCTTTGCATTGAACTTTAAGCATCTTACATTCACACATCTACATTACACATCAACTAAAGTTTCAAATGTGATATCATAGTGAACCACCCCTTTAAATTAAATTAAAAACGCTACAACATTCCTTTAAAAAAAATAAGAATTGGCAGACAAAAATGAGACAGAAAAAAGTAGCATGCACACATTTTTAAAAGGACTTAGTTCAGAAATGGAAATTACTGCCGTCTTGGTAGTCATCTCTCTGGGTTTGACCTTTCCCTCCTCCTAATATAGCTTTCAGTCTCTCATTAGCATCTTCTCCTTTTCTTACTGTCTTTAATGTTTTTCCTTCATTCTTCTCTTACCGTCTTGTTTTATTTTTCTCCTCAGTGACCAGTGTCTCTCTGCTCTCTATTTCATTCCTTTTACATTTGATTCACACTTTCTCCCACTGCAGGTGAGAAATAAACCTTTTCGTTTTGTTTCCTCACACTTTATTCGGTCCCAAAATCGTGTGCTTATTTTCTCACTTCCATGCATTTATTCCCTCTCTCACCCTTTTTTTCTCCCTCTTCTCGATTCCCTCTTGAATTTCAGATGCATCCAGTATCTGTTGTTTTCTCAGTCTTTCCCTGTTTAATCTTTTCTCACCTATTTCTGCCACCTTTTCCCACACTATTTTCCTCCTTCACAGGTGTTGACCATCTTCTTTTCCGATTCACACTCACAAATGTGTTTCTAGCTGCTCCACTTGGAGTCAAACCTCATCCTATGTAAAATAATAACAATAATAAATTCCTGGGAAGTCATTTTCTATCTTCTGAACAAAATATGAGAGCGATGCAGTTGAAGTCAGAATTATTAGCCCCCGTGTACAATACCTGACAAAAGTCTTGTCGCTTATTCAAGTTTTAGAAACAACAAATAATAAGTCGCCTTCTAGTTGATCATTTGGTATCAGAAGTGGCTTATATGAAAGGCGAATGCCTCTAGATTATGCCTTATTTACCACAATAAAATATGATCATGCCTTGATTTTTAATGATTTAATTAGGACAGTACGGCCTGACTTTGCTTAGACAAAAGTCTTAACAGAAATAATGTCCAGTATAGAATATAAAGTCCTGCTGCAGTGGAAACAGAATGAAAATTGTGTCTGACTCCATCATGAGCTTGGAGGACTGCATCCATACATCTCTGCAATGACTCACTTATTAATAAAGTCATCTGGAATGGCAAAGAAAGCGTTCCTGCAGGACTCCCAGAGCTCATCAAGATTCCTTGGATTCATCTTCAATGCCTCCTCCTTCATCTTACCCCTGACATGCTCAATAATGTTCATGTCTGGTGACTGGGCTGGCCAAGCACCTTCTTTGCTTTCCGGAGCTTTGATGTGGAGGCTGAAGTATGAGAAGAAGCGCTATCCTGCTGGAGAATTGTCCCTCTCCTGTGGTTTGTAATTTAATGGGCAGCACAAACGTCTTGATACCTCAGGCTGTTAATGTTGTTCTCTCGCATGTCTCCATACTGAATGTTACCCCAAACTCTCCAAAATATATACAGGAGGGCAAATCGTTTTGACTTCAACTGTATGTACGCCAACACTTTTACCATTTCAGAAAAGCCGATATGCTTAGTCCTGGATCAGAATCAGGTATTCCAGAAAGCCATGTAATAACCCTGCTCAGTTTGCGATGTTCTCAGGCCAGGACAGACGAAAGCAGCAGGATTTTCTGTGATTTTAAAAATGAATCGATACGGCATCTCTTACATCTGACAGGCCATCAATCACATCAATTACATGTCTAACCAAAGACAGCGTGTCAGACAGAATGGATCTGTTATCTCTGTCATACTTAGACAAACACAACACACACACACACACAAAACAGATATGAACCATCAATCTCTGCTTTCTCCTCGAAAACACAATGTTCAGACTATACTGTGTGTGTTTTTAAAGAGGAATTCTGTTCTTTGCTCTTATAAAGAAGGGATCCAATAGTTTTCTTTTACAGCTTGACGATGAAGGAGAAATTTGTGAAGTTGTGTGGTCCTGAAAGCAGTGATTCTTAGCCCAGAGAATTGAACAGGTTCCAGCTATAATAAACAGGAAGTTATTGTATGTTAATGTGGACACTAATAGTTATCATCATGATTGCTTAAGTTTAATGTGAATGTTCCCTAATGATGAGAGCGAATATATAGTTGAAATACTCTACATTTAAACGAATATCTGAGTCTAAACCATATCTTTGGAATCTCTTTGATAATTTTTTTTTTATTTACTTGATAATTAATTTAAACATTGACAGCTAATCCATCATATTTTACCTAGCTGAAACATTTAAAACAGATCTAAAACCTTAATCTAAGGCAGGGATCACCAATCTCGGTCCTGGAGGGCCGGTTTCCCTGCAGGGTTTAGCTCCAACTTGCCTCAATACACCTGCCTGGATGTTTCAGGTATAGTAAGACCTTGATTAGCTTGTTCAGGTGTGTTTGAGTATTGTTGGAGCCAAAATCTGCAGGACACCGGCCCTCCAGGAACAAGTTTGGTGACCCCTGATCTAAGGCATGAATTAAAACATTTTGTCACTGTCTTCATAAATGTAATAGCTAGAAATTATTATTTGTAGTCATAATCTATGATGTTAGCAACACAGGCTGCATCACTCCCCACTGACATCATTCCATGCTGCAGAATCTCACACCACTCGTGGGATTTAATACCTGCTTGGCGTCCATTAACCGCCCACTTTTGTCCATTGTAACTAAAACTGGTTACTGCTATCGCAGGCATTGCCTGTAAAAACATAACTAGAGTAAAAATAACAAAAATACAGGCATTCTCTTGCTTTATCTAAACAATTTTAAATAACACAAATTTATTAAAAATAAATATTTGACATTTTTTTCTAAAATCCTGTCATCAGTTATTAATATTAATGATGTTATTAGTCACTTTGAAATGACATGTGTTATTTGATTATATTACTTATTTTAAAATGAGCTAAAACAACACAATTCTTGAAGGTTGTTTTGGGACAACTGAATTGCTTTACGTTCAATCTACTTAAATTTTTAAAAACCAGTAAGTTAACTTAATTTCCGGTACCAGGTCGGTGACGTCATCGACTTTCGCTTCAAGATTTAAAGGGCTAGCATTGCACCAGACCCCCTTAAGTGGTTTCAATTGAAAGTGTAGAATCTATATTTTATGCACATATGCATCACTTTACTCTGCTGTACAAAAGTTATTTACACTAAAATATACAGTATTTTGCATTGGTTTTACATTGGTTTATTTTCATATTTTTCATATGACACATGTACAAGTTATAGCTCAAATGAAAGCTCTTGCCGGTGCTCATACGGTTCTAGAATTATTTTTACTGAATTATATTCACATATCAAACAGTTGTCGAATGAATCGCGGTGTTTCCATGGCGCAGAAGTGAAACAATACATTTATGATCACTAAGCAGCCCCAGATAGCACAGACAGCTGTCATCTCTCACCTTATGCTGTGCGCTTCAGGGCCATTTCTCCTCTGTTTTTGAGGTGATGTGCATAAGTAATACTTTTATATGTCTGACGTGGTCCAAACACAGTGAATTATGTTTGATCAAACAAAAGAATAGTGAAAAATAAAACAATGATTGATCCCTGTGGCTTGTACAGCACCTCTCATCAGTTGGAATACAATAACTTTTGCATAGATTATGGTAGAGACATTTTCCTTTTTTCATATGATTACAGACATGTGCAGAAACCACCTAAATTAATTACAGCACGCTAGACCACACACAACCTAAAGGGTACACTTTCAAATCTGAGTTTATGAAAAAAAAGCACCTCTTTTTTTAGGTGTTTATTATAACGCAGACAACATATACAGTTATTTTAAACACTTTCAATAGTGTTTTATGAAAATGTTCTTTAAAATGAGACCAAATTTTTGCATTTACATCTCTGCATGTGGATTTGGAAAGCTTTTAAATTTGGGTAGGCAAAATCCAGGCGGAAATCCCAAAATAACAGCAGAGTTTAGCTGGTTACGTTGTCTCAACACAAATCGATTGTGTGAAACCCAGCATTTTCAACAGTGTACATTCAAAAACTAATCAAACTAATTATTTAAATAGAGCTGTAACAACTCAATTCTTGAGTTTTCTGGGACAGCTTAATTATTTTATGTTCACTCTACGTAAATTCCTTCATGTTGTCTCAACACAAATCGAATGTGTGGAAGCCAGCATCTTTTACAGTGAGTTCATGCAACTGGCCCCAGCTCATGTGTCCCTGCACCCCTTTCCAGCCCCGTCCGCTCCCCCACAAGAGGTGCACCTGATCAGCCTGAGCTCCAGCAGCATCAAGGTGAGTTGGGTGGCCCCTCCGGCCGCCAGCCGGCACGGCAGCATCGTCCGCTACTCTCTGGCCTATCAGGCAGTGTCTGGCGAGGACCAGGAGCGCCACGAGGTCAAAGACATCCCTGCTGATGTGTCCAGCTATGTTCTGGAGGGTCTGGAGAAATGGACTGAGTATACGGTGTGGGTCAAAGCGCACACAGATGTGGGTCCCGGGCCAGAAAGTGGCAGCACCCGCATCAGAACCCAAGAGGATGGTAATTCTCCGCTCTCGAACGCTCCAGATCTGCTTTTCTAACCAGCACTAACTCTGGGTTTCCTGACTGACGCCTTCATCTGCAATTCTCACCCTTTCTTCTTTCCCGCTGGAGCTGTTTTGTTGATAACATGCAGCTTTTGTACACGACGCTGGAGAGCTGCAGCTGGCCTTTATAGTGGAGTGAAAGTTCAGGACCGAGCTCAGGCTTTGTTTTGTGAGTCAGCTTTTAATATGCGATGAAAAGACTCGTGAAGGGAGAAAGTGGGCGAACGGAGAGTTTCGGTGGGCTTCACGTGGCTCATTCAGATGCTCCCACACAGAAAACATGCACCTTTTTTAGAGAACGGTCTTATAGCCGTAGCTATAAAAAGGTATTGCTATTACTGTTGTGCATAGTTCATATAAAAAAGCCCCGCAGACTTACACAACCACTCTGAAGTCTCTGATACTCGTCTTGGCTGCGCTTATGGGATTAAAAATGTAGTCATTGTCATTTTATCATTTATCATTGTCCTTTTATTAGTTTAGGGTCGCCACAGCGGAATGAATCGCCATCTTATCCAGTATATGTTTTACACAGTGTCTGCCTTTCCAGCTGCAACCGATCATACACCACGGACAATTACATGATTACATTTCTGGACTAAGGGGGAAACCGGATCACCCGGAGGAAACCCACTAAAGCAGAGGGAGAACATGCAAACTCCACACAGAAATGCCAAATGACTCAGCCAAGGCTCAAATCAGCGACCTTCTTGCTGTGAGGAGATTGTGCTACCCATTGCGCCATCGTGATGCCAATATTTTATCAAATTTATAATTTTATTTTATGGCGAGTTTTGTAGCTGAATCATTACTGCAGGCTTCAGTGTCACGTGAGTCTTCAGAAATGTGACCTTGAACCACAAAAGAAAAGTTCATTTTAAATGTAATAGATTACAATCTTAAGCCCAACGAAGATTGAAATAATATACAAAAATAACATAACAAATTACTTTTCTTAAAGGGACCAAAAAATGAAAAAAAAAAAAAATTATTTACTTACTTGTTTTGTTGAACACGAAAGAAGATATTTTGAAGAAAGCTAAAAACCCACAACCTTTGACTTTCATAATAGGAGAAAAATAAAACAGGTTTTCAGCTTTCTTTGAAATGTTCAATTTGTTTTCAACATAAGATCGTAAAAGTAAAAAAAAAAAACTTTATTAAAAAATATAAAAAAATATATAAAAATTTCCTTTAAAAATAACTATGAAAACCCGTCATGAGGGTCAATTTTTAAATATGCATAGAGATATACATAATCTGAAAGCTGAATAGATAAACTAAAATTAATGTATGATTTATTAGTATAGGGCAATATTTGGCAGACATACAATTATTTGAAAATCTGAAATCTGAGTTTTTCACCTATAAATCACCTTAAATTTTTTTAAAATAAATCACCTTTAAAATTTTCCAAATTAAGTTTTTAGTAATGATATAATTACATTGTAAAAAAAATTATTAATGCCTTAAATGTTTTATTTGAATCAAGATAACTTTTCTAGTCATTGCAACTTTGCAATCAATCAATCAGACAGTCAGTCAGTCAGTCTGTCTGTCTGTCTGTCTGTCTGTCTGTCTGTCTGTCTATCAATTAGTCAGTCAGTTAATCAGTCAATCAATTAATCAGTTAGTCAGTCCATCAATCAATCCATCCATCATTTAGTCAGTCAGTTAATCAATCAATCAATACATTTGTTAATCAATCTATCTATCAATCAATTAAGTAGTCAGTCAGTTAATCAATCAGTCAACCTTTCAGTCAGTCAATCCATGAATCAATCCATCAATCAATCATTCAGTCAATCAATCAATCCATCAATCAATAAATTCATCCATCCATCCATCAATCCTTTAGTCAGTCAGTCAGTTAGTCAATCAATCAATTTGCCAATCAATCTATCTATCTATCAGTCAATCAATCAATCAGTCAGCCTTTCAGTCAGTCAGTCCATCAATCCATCAATCAATCAATCAATCAGTCAATCAATCCATCAATTAGTCAATCAATCAATCAGTCAGTCAGTTAATCAATCTATCAATTCATCAATCCATCAATCAACCCATCCATCCATCCGTCCATTCATCCATCCATCCAGTCATCAATCCGTCGGTTGGCACTGTCGCCTCACAGCAGGAAGGTTGCTAGTTTGAGTACCAGCTGGACCAGTTGGCATTTCTGTGTGGAGTTTGCATTTTCTCCCCGTGTTGATGTGGGTTTCCTCCAGGTGCTCTGGTGTCCCCCACAGTCCAAACACATGCGCTATAAAATTGTGTATGAGCGTTTGTGAATGTGAGAGTGTATGGTGTTTCCCAGTTCTGGGTTGCAGCTGGAAAGCCTTTCGCTGTGTAAAACATATGCCAGAACAGTTGTCGGTTCATTCAACTGTGGCGACCCCTGATAAATAAGGGACTAAGCGGAAGGAAAATGAATGAATAAAGTATGAATTCATTTTAAAACATTTTACCGATCGCAAAGTTTTGGATGTTAGTGTACATTAAAAATGGGACTGAAGTTATTTAGAGATCCGATTATATTTGGGCCAGTGAGTAACCACTTAGCAGCCACCCTGAGCACCACAGTAATGCCCAAAACACCCTAGCAGCCTTAGTGAGTTCTGCATGAGCAGTCGCCATTCACTTTTTCTTTTTTTTTTCGTCATGAAATGTACAAATTGAGTTACATCATGCTGCGAGTAGCGTGTGACTGGCCATCTGTGAGGCTTGTTTAATGCTGCACACTTCTGTCTCCGCTGGGCTCAGCTGTTTGATTGACAG